TACCGTAACACATCAGGTAGACAAGCATCTTATTTTAAAATGCGACTGGCTTGAATGGGTTTCCTAAAACAATGGCTCACTTGACTGCTAAGATAAAACATTTTACCAAGTAGCTTCCTCAACATCTGTTGTCGCTCACTCCCGTTGTTATTTTGTTTCCGTTGTGTGGGTTTTGCATTTGTGTTTTGGCCTTGGTACCTCTTGTGGTTACATACTTGGCTCCCAGACAGCCCTGTGGTATTTTGGTTTTGACATGCTATAGGATTACGCTGTTCGGCCAGCTTTGCTAGTATTTGATCTAATTGCATTTTAATGGCCTGGCATTAGAGTTTTCCTGTGTTTGTCCCTGCAGGCGTCCCCATACCCTCTAATTCTATCCTTGGAGAACCACTGTTCTGTGGAGCAGCAGGCTGTGATGGCTAAACACCTCCGCGCCATCCTCGGCAGCAAACTGCTCACAAAGGCCCTTAGTGAAAACCCACTGAAAGATCTGCCTTCTCCCGAAGTACAAAGCATGCACACACACAAACACACAAACACACCCACACACACGCACGCACGCATGCACATACATACACACACATACACACACAGAGCTGGATCTATTTTCAAAGACCTCTGGCTGTCTGGTTTTCTAATAAAGTAATTTGTTCTAATGACCTTTGCTGCAGGACCTGAAGGGGCGTATTCTGGTAAAAGGGAAGAAGCATATCCCTCACCTCGGCCAGCTGGGCAGCAGTGCCAGCTTCTCGTCCAGCTCTGAAGACGAACTAGCCATCAGCAATAAGAACACACCCAAGAAGGATCCCACAAAGGTCAGTGCAGGTAGACTCATCATTAACCCAGATTCTGAACCCGCTTTGTCGATGATCAGCTAATTTTCTTTTATGTTTGCATTTGCCCTCACCCAGGTGTATTCCAAACTGAGCCCCGAGCTTTCCGAGCTGGTTGTGTACTGCAGGAGTGTCTCCTTCTGTGGCTTTGAAAATACATCTGAAAAACCGCCCAATGAAATGTCCTCCTTCTCTGAAAGTGAAGCCCTCAGGCTCATCAAAGACTCGGGTACAATGGTGGAAATAATTTGGCATTATAGCAAGAAAGTTGCTTTACAGCAGCTGATTCTACAGAAAATATAATCATGCTCCAATGTTTTTCTCTCTCTTTTCATTTTCAGGAAAGCCATTTGTAAGACACAACAGCAGGCAGCTGAGCCGGATCTACCCCTCTGGCCAGCGCCTCCAATCATCCAACTATGATCCCCAGGAAATGTGGAACGGTGGATGCCAGATGGGTTAGTACTGCAATCTAGAAGCTGGGATGCTTTTCCAATGGAGGGAAATTGAGTCAATTCATTTGACAAACATTTCGGCAGCCAGTGAGAACCAAATAAATGTTATACTAACCCACATTTCTACAATTTGCTGCCAAGACAAAACACATTTATGCTATTGATGTCTTCATTTATTTTTTGACAGTAATTGAGTGTTCGCTCATGCTGAAATGCTTTCTGTGAGCATGTTTGTGATCAGGTGTGGTGCCTCACTGACTCTTCTTGCTGTGCTGTGCAGTGGCTCTGAACTTCCAAACACCAGGGGAGCAGATGGACCTGAACCAGGGTCGCTTCCTTCCCAACGGTCGCTGTGGATACACCCTCAAACCTAGCTTCCTGTGCAGCCCCACGTCCAACTTTAACCCAGAGAACACAGGGGGAGGCCCCGGTCACATCCCCACCCAACTGACGATACGAGTGAGTGTTAATCCATATAGCATTATAGAGCATTTGAATGGATTCAAAAAGCTCTTTAACCCTTTGCACTTTTGGGGTTATGCGAATAGAATCGGCCTCGATTATGATACATTTACAGTCATAATTTGATGCACAAACTGACTGACTACATTTTGTTCATCAGATAATATCAGCGCAGCAGCTGCCAAAAATCAACACAGAAAAGGCGAGCTCCATCGTGGATCCACAAGTGTGGGTGGAAATTCATGGGGTGGATATCGATAAAGCAAGAGACAAGACGCAACGCATTGACAACAATGGTAATCTAGAGATTGGATTAAAGTAAAAACCTCATATTAGTTGTGAAGATGCTTTTAGCAGAGGTTCAATACTTTTATCCTCCATACACATTTGCTTAAAAAATAATTATTCCTGCAGAATAATATATAGTGATATATAATGATAAATATATATATAAAGTCAAGAATGAATAAACAATATACTGTATATAACGCTATTGCTAATGTTTGTAACATGCGAAGGCAGGAGGCTACGCATTATATCCATGAACGTCTTCATTCTTGATTCTGGGCAGTGCAGATCTTTGACATATTTTTGTGGGGAGCTTTTCCTGTCCAACGCCATTATTAGTTTGTTTGAAATCTCCAGTCCTGATGGATCTATTTAAAGCTCTTGTGCGCCCTCTACAGGTTTTAATCCACGCTGGGACTGCACACTGAGCTTCCAGCTGCAGGTCCCTGATCTGGCCCTGGTGCGGTTTGTAGTGGAGGACCACGACCACACTGCCAAAAATGACTTTGTGGGACAATTCACTTTACCTTTCACAAGCCTTCGCACAGGTGCAAATAAAAATCTGATATTTGTTTAATAAAACATCCATCCCTGCTGTGTGCGTTGTATAATGCTTATACCGTCTTCTCTTTTCTCAGGTTATCGACATGTTCACTTATTAAAGGCAGATGGTTCTAGTCTTTCCCCTGCCACACTCTTTGTCCACGTCAAAGTGAGTCGCAAAGGAGTTCCCATCAAAACAGTGTCCGAGCGTATAGCCATTGCCAAAAGCATGGCATGAATGATGTACATCTGAATATGATGGAAAGATGCATTTTCTGACGAAAAAGAGCTTTGGAAACGGAGGTCTGAAAGAAAGGAGGAGAGGACTAATGCTGCTGCTGCTGCTGCTGCTGCTGCCAGCCGGTCTGCCAGTCCATACCTCGAGTGGTCCAATATAAATCGAGCCACTTTCCAACACAGGAGGAAAGATGGTGTTTATCAGAGATGAAGAAGCATGCTGGCTCTCAGCAAATGAATTGCCTGGAGCTAGATAATAAATCCATTTTACACTGTAGGAGTATCTGGTCTTGTCAGTGCTGAGTGCTCTGGAAATGGCTGAGGATTGGGGTTCATGAAACACACTGATACGAGACTCAACAAAATGAATCTAAATACTATTAACTCTCATGTGTAGGATGTTATCTCAGACAGTGTATGTTGGACACAGTAAAAGATGTAGCTTGTCGTTAATAATCTATGATGTAATTTTGATTCAAGAATTATTTTAACATTTTTATACTTAATATATATTTGGCTTTAACTTATTAAGTGAAGATGGTTTAACAAAAGTAGTCCATACTTAACTCAAGAGAAATCAGAGCATGACAAGCTGTGATTAATACAAATTATAGAAATTGTTTTGCACATGAATGTTTTAGCTCTGTCTGATGTAATACAGATGCAATACTGTGATATTCCACAGATAATATTGTCTATGAAAGTTGAATAAATGTTCAGTGGTTAGGTTTACTCTTAATTTCTCTCTATAGTCTGAGACAAATGACTGGATATATTTCCGCAACTTACAAATGAACTTGAAACGTTAACAGTATTAACTTGCAGATTTACTTAATGTTTACATATGCTCTTATAAAATGTCATTGATTGTATTTGCTTCAATGAAATTTCACACACTTTTATGATAAGATGTCATATTGTGTTTGATTCTAAAGGATTTTTGCATGTCTGCAATCTATTGACCATCCTGTCTTATTATTTTACTGTTGTCAATGTTTAACATCTATTATATTGTGGTTGAACGCAAATTGCGATACAACCAGTCATTAGTGTAGGCCAAAGTGAATCATATAATTCACTTACAAAGCTTACAGTGATAGAAGGTGCTGCACATAAATTACCGTAATGACAGTATATATGGTTAGATTGGTTTCAGTAGTAATTCTGAATGATTTTCCAGTGTTAAAGCTTATAGCCTGTGTTGTATGAAAGGCAGTTTGTGTTATGTATACAAGTGAAGGAACTGTTTTCATAAAAGCACTAATTACACATGACTGTGTGAGACTTTTTCTTGTTGTCTTTACATATACTATGCACAGAGTTTGTGTGTGTGTTTGTGTGTGCACTTGTGCAGATAACTTTGTGAGTACCATTTTGAACATAGACCTCATTGTGGCCAGTTGTCACCTACTGACCCACTTTTGATGGGCTGTTTGAGGGCTGGGACTTGTGTGTGTGTCTGTGTGTGTTTCTGCAGTTGTACTTAAGGTTATGTAAATAGTGGTTAGGTTAAGGTTAGAGATGAGGTTTCGATTAGACTGTCTGCAATGAATGGAAGTCAATGCAAAGACCTAAAAAGGATCTCTCACTCGCTCCCTCTCCCTCTGTGTGTGTGTGCGTGCGTATGAGTGTGTGTACATGTCTTTTAATAGTTGTGAGGACATTCTGACAAGTCTTTTGGATTAGCTCAGAGTTAATGTTAGTCAATTACCATGATGGTTCTGGTCAGGATGATAATACTACTACTACTTATAACAACAACAATAATGATAATAATAAAGACTGATTTGTGATTGTATAAAGCTAAAAAACAAAAAAATGTACTAATTCTATCCCTTTAAAAATGCAACCTTATAAACGAGTGAATGCAAATACTTCACCAGCATTGAAACCAGACAATAGTTTAGGTTGCACAACATGTATTTCCCACCCCTCACGTGCCTCCTGTCAAATGCTTCGCTGTCTTCGTTTGCCTGCAGATCACGTGGCTCTAACCGTGTCTGTGTGACAGACAAGAGAACACACACGATGAAATAAGTGATCTACATTGGGTTGTGTTGTTGGAGAGAGAAAAAGTGAGATAACATTGTGAGCAGGTTCTGATCGTAGACACATCAAGAAAGGGGGGGGGGAGGGGGGGGAACCAATGACAGCGAGGCGGGTTTAAAGGCGTCGACAACACGCGGTGGCTCCTCACTTCCTGGATGAAGATGGCGGATGAGAATGAGACAGCACCGATGCCGGAGGGAGAAGACGTAGAGGACCACGGACACTGCAGCGACTGTGAAAATGAGGAGCACCACTCTGACGACGGGTAAGAGGACGAGCTCGGTGCCGCGGGGCTGTGAGACGTGTCACGCCGCAGCACCGACCTGCAAAGCGGCTGCAGAGTGAAGCCTCCGCAAGCGGTGAGGCACAGACAGCCGGGCAACCGACACGTCCCTCCCACTTGTTGTCACCCAATTGGCTAGAATCGCCCTTCATTCACCAGTTCTTTGATGCAATTGGCTTAAGGCACGTTTCTCTGGGCGTGTCTTAGCTGCGCTCTGCTCTAGCCGTGATAGCAAGGCTCGGGATGGGGGTTGAAAAAACAAACAGCGCACGAAAGCGAGTTTTTTGCCCTAAAATCCATCGTTTCCTGTCACTTTTGCAACTCAGGAACAAATGTAAAACCTTCCCATGAAGCTGACAGCTCGGTGTTTCACCCACACATCGCTGCTGGCTGTCGGTAACTGATGCAAGTCATGGCAACCCCGGCGAACAGCTAGCTAGGCGTTAGCTTGCGTGCTAGCATAGCTGTCAAACCCCCCTATTGTCTGTGCGTGGATTTCGGTGCAGACTGGAGACAAATGCAAAGTGAAACAAGGGTAATCCACGTGCCTGTGCAAGTGTTGTGACATGGGCGATGTCTAGGTTGCGTTTTATTCCCCGTGCAAATCCCAGAAATGTGACGGATCCTGAAGCAGCCCAGCTCTGAGTAACTCCCACTGAAAACAGGCTTTAATGAAAATCCTCTTTTTTCCTGGCACAGGTCTCGGCAAATGTTTACCAAGCTGTGACACAACATAAGTCCAGGCCTGCAGATATTAAGGCGTGTCCTGATCGCAACATGTTTTCTGTATTTTTTTTTTCTGGGGACAGAAAGAGCTGCTGTAGGACAAAAAGTACCCAACCTTTAAATGAACTAATATCTACCTGTGATCTCTCCCCACAAGTTATAATATGTAGTGTGATCATGTGCACTGAAAGGTTTGACAGCAGAGTGAAGGATTTTAATTTAAAGGATTGTAATAATCACCAAGTTATACCAGTGTCAGGATCATACATAACACAGACATTGATACCTTTTTAATTTCAATGTTAGGCAAGACATTCATGTCAATAACTATAAAATATATTTTATCTATAGCAACATCACAAAAGTACAAAGTGTTTATCAAGATATTACTTGTGCATTATGTAAGCACAGTGAGGAAGTAAAACACATAATTGATTGACCTTTAGATTTATCATTCTCTGCCCATGAGGAAGTTTAATGCCACAACTTTCACTCAGGATAAAGTCTGTCTTTGATTATAATATAATAATAATCTGACATCTATTGTGTTATTTATCAATATCTTCTGAAATATAATACAATTATGATGTTGATATAATCTTTGGTCATATTGCCCACCCCTAAGATAATGTATTATCAGGTAAGGGTTATTATTTTTCTTGTGGGTGCATTATTTCTACAAAAAAATCCACAAACATAACTTAATTGTTGTAACTATCCTTCAATTTACAAAATCGCATGCCTATTTAAACAGAAGATGGTTTTTAATGTAAACAACAAAAAGAAAGTCAATTCTCTGACCTGTAGTGGTGATCGCTGCACACACATGCATGTAACTGAGATGCAAGTATCTGCAGGAATACAAAAAAAGTTCATGTGCCCTGGATGTGTTTAAACCAGACTTTATTGATCATGTGAAAATCATCAAGATTGTTCCATTCAATCCAAAGGTTTCGAAGCCTGAAACGGTCAAAGCGTTCGGTGTAAGCAGTCGTCCCAACACTGCTGCGAAGGGAGCATAGTGAACATATTTTCATTAAAGGGAAGTAAATCTGAGTTTCACTGTTGCTCTTTTCCAGCAACACGTGCAACCCCCCCCCCCCTGCACCAACTTATACACACACACAGAAACAAAGAGTAGTTCTAGCTGTTAACTGGTCCACTCTGTGGAAATGGAAGCCTGTGGAACAAACTATTCAATGTTTTGTTGTCCATTGTCACTCACTGACCTCCCGTACATGCATACGTACACACACGTAGATGCCATGCACTCTGGAGGTCATGTGATTCACCATCTGCGCTAGTGTAACCGTTAAGGGCCAGAACTGTGTCTCTCTCTGCTCTCCGACACTAATGAGATTATCCTCTGTAAGTATCCAGTCTTTCACAGGCCAGAAGATGGATAGGTGGGTGTGTGGGGGTGTGGGGCTCCTTAGGTTTGACCTGATCAGGAAAGAGGTTTATGACACATTGGTTGTGGGAAGGGGTTACAGGACCTGTGTACTATGATTTAATCCCTCTTGTATCCCTCTGCACAGCTACATACAGGTGAGGAAGAGGGATACAGTCCATATGTTTCTGGTATTATAACCTACGACTGCTCCACCACTTTTATTTGACTTGGAACACCTTTACTTGCTGTCAGACTTGTATTGTTGTTTCTGTAACTGTCCTAGAACTGATTACTGACAAGGTTAAAAAAAAAAAAAGTTTGCTCATCAGGAAAAGATGGTTTCTCAAACTAGGCCTAAATGAATCATCCGCAGTGGGAATATATTTTTTTAAAGGATTTTAATATCCAGGATTTATTATTATTTTAAGCTAAAAAGATTAAGTCCAGGTACAGAAAATGAACCACATGCTCTCTTTATTATTAAAATAGATTTTAAGCAGAATCAACATTTGCTGACTCCAGCTTCTCCGCCGTCAGATTTGCTTTTTTTTAAAGTGTCAAATGTGAGGGTTTGTTTGAATGGAAGGCTTTTGGACTTTGGTGAGACAAAACAAGGCATTTGGACTCTGGGAAGAAAATGATGTTTAAAAGAGTTTTAAAAAAAAAAATGAATAAATTATCATGAAAATGATCTAGAGCCTCACATATATGATGGCGTCAAACTGCTGACAGGTTTTCTATTAATTACCTGACAAAACTTAAAATAAGTGGCCTCCTCTGGGATAACATTTTTCAGTTGATATAATCCTTAGAATTAGGCTGATAGTGTGTATGTGTAGTATTTCAATATAAAAGTAAATATAATACGTCTTAAATCACCCTGTGTCTTGCATTGTGTTTCCCAGGTAGAGATTTTTACAGATACCTTTTGACCAGGATGTGGTTTTCTCTCTGGAATGGAAAACTAATTCAGACATCTATTTCTGTCTTGTTTCAGTGACAGGGGTCTGGCTGACGACACTGGTGCCAAGAAGAAGAAAAAGAAGCAGAAAAAGAAGAAGAAATCTGGTGCCACAGAAGCAGCTCAGGACACCCTCTCTAAGGCATGCATTCTGTCACTTCTTTTAAATGAAACCACTCACACACTCAAGTCTTTGTATAGAAGATAATGATTCATTTGGTGAGTTGGCCCTTGTAATGGTGTTTCATTGTTTTTCCTTTGTATTAACTCCTCTCAACCTTTCTAACAGGTGAATTCATTGCCAGCTGATAAGCTACAGGAGATCCAAAAGGCCATTGAACTGTTCTCTGTAGGCCAAGGCCCTGCCAAAACCATGGAGGAGGCAACTCGGAGGAGTTACCAGTTCTGGGATACGCAACCTGTTCCCAAGCTAGGTATGCCAATTGTCAGAGAACTTTCAGTTCTTAACAAGTACTCAAACACCAACATGTGGTATGAGAATGGCAGGTATCCAAGTTTCTGTGCTTCATGTCAGGATCTGTTCTGTTTTCCTCAGGGGAGACGGTGACATCGCACGGTTCCATTGAACCTGACAAAGACCACATTCGAGAAGAGCCCTACAGCCTCCCACAGGGCTTCAGCTGGGACACCCTCGACTTGGGGAGCCCTGCTGTGGTAAGAAACACTCAAAGCAGGGATGCACATGAGTAATTTATCTTTAAGTCAATATTTCCTCTTTGCTTTATTTTTGATAGGAAACTAGTTTATTTGAAATTTCAGTGGTAATCTGATTGTGCCCTTCGTTCAGTTTTCTTCTCCTCTGTTGTTTATGTATGATTACAATAATGAAGTTTGTCTGTTTTGTCAAAGTAAAATTAAAATCTTAAGCTGAGATCAATTAACGTGATTTGGAGATGAAAACTATGATTAAAGGAAATTAAGATGCAGCTCGAGTGCACAAAAGAAAATTTACTGTGTAATTTTACCAAATGTTGGTGAGATTGTATTTTCATTTAAAGGTTTCCCTTTGACTCTTTAATGTGCATTGATGTGTATGGTACAGTTTGTATTGTCAGGAATGCTTTAAAAGTAGAATAACAGATGCAGAAAATGTTGATGATTGGCAGATTTCGTTTGAATGTTTCATAAAATAGTTAATGGCACATATGCTCATATTCACATAGACTTAGATAAATAGATAGATTAGTAGATAGTTGCAGTAGATAAATAATGTGTAGTGAGAGGTTGTTTACTTTTGTGACTAAATGTCAGATTCTGTTGTATTCTCTAAAACCAGCTCAAGGAGCTTTACACCCTTCTCAATGAGAACTATGTGGAAGACGATGACAACATGTTTAGATTTGACTACTCTCCCGAGTTCCTGCTCTGGTAATTCCTTTCACATCTGTGATTTTTCCAATTTTACACCTGACAAAGATCTTAAATTGAAATGTTCAATGTCATGTGGAATATTGAACTCTTAATAATTTGCTTTATGGCATTCTTATTCCACTTGTGTCTTTTTCTCAGGGCCCTGCGGCCCCCCGGCTGGTTGCCCCAGTGGCATTGTGGAGTGAGGGTTAACTCTAACCAGAAGCTGGTGGGCTTTATCAGTGCCATACCTGCCACTATCCGCATCTATGACATGTGAGCGAACTCATCAGTGCTGAATGAGAATGTTACCCTGTCAACATGGACCTAACTTTATAATTGATCTCACATGCTGCATAAAATCAGGGGATGAAAGATTAGCCTCCTTTTATTTCACTCACTTCCAAATCACATGCATATTGTTTTTACACTTGGAAATGCCTTTTTATCTTCACTTAGATTATAAAAGTGTAAAAAACTGTCTATAGGGTTTGTTTTTTATTGATTGACAGTATTAATAAACTCTGTTGCAGACCTGCTCAGATAATTGTTTTTCTTGTGTTTTAGAGAAAAGAAAATGGTTGAGATCAATTTCCTCTGTGTTCATAAGAAGCTTCGCGCCAAACGAGTCGCTCCCGTTCTGATCAGAGAAATCACCAGACGGGTGAACCTGCAGGGCATCTTTCAGGCGGTGTACACTGCGGGTGTGGTACTGCCCAAACCTGTGGGCACATGCAGGTGGGTCTGACAGAAACATGCTTTAGTTTTCTTCTTGGACTGTGTCAGTACTATTTGATTTCTTTGCACAGGTACTGGCATCGTTCTTTGAACCCACGCAAGCTAATCGAGGTGAAGTTCTCCCACCTGAGCAGGAACATGACTATGCAGCGCACCATGAAGTTGTACCGTCTGTCTGATGTTGGTGGAAATGCGCACACACACACACAATAAATCTTTGAGATGATTTCTTTCTTCCAGTATGCCTTTATTCTCCTCATCCATGTCTTCTTCTTCAGGCCCCGAAGACTTCAGGTCTGCGGCCAATGACCAAGAAGGATGTGCCTGTGGTACATCGTCTCCTCCGTGAGTACCTGAGCCAGTTCAGCTTGGTGCCCGTTATGAGCCCGGACGAGGTGGAACACTGGCTTCTGCCCCAGGAGAACATTATCGACACTTACTTGGTGGAGGTAAAAGACCATGTCTTATATTTAAATAATTCTGTCGTGTTTTACTCCAGGAGCCTTTACAAAAGTATGTGTTGTTCTCTTGACAGAACGGTGGCAAAGTGACCGATTTCCTGAGTTTCTACACGCTGCCCTCTACCATCATGAACCACCCTGTGCACCGCAGTCTAAAAGCTGCCTACTCCTTCTATAACGTGCACACCACCACCCCACTGCTTGACCTGATGTCTGATGCCCTCGTCCTGGCCAAATCGGTGCGTTCCTCTTAAATCAGTTGTTCATCATCAGTGTTCTGTTAAATGTTCGTTCTCCAAATGGGAAGTAATGGAGTTTTTTCTCTCATCTCTTATTCAGAAAGGGTTCGATGTCTTCAATGCACTGGATCTAATGGAAAACAAGACTTTTCTGGAGAAGCTAAAGTTCGGCATCGGTGATGGGAATCTACAGTATTATCTGTACAATTGGAAGTGTCCAAGCATGGGGTCAGAAAAGGTAGAGTTTCTGGAGCATTTCTTTTCACAACGGCAATTTCGTAACCTCAGCTCATCTACAGGGGGTCTGGCAAAACTATTGAAGTCTTTAGCTTTCTTTATTAACTCTTGTCTGCTCGAGGCAGTGATGTTAATTGGTTGGATATCAAATGCTTGTTTCAGATTCCAGGCTGTTGGAGGATGTTACAGTCAATAGTGAGGTTGTTTTGACCGTGGAATGTTAATGCAGCAGTCGGTAGATCTGTAACAAAACACTGTCACTGCTATTCGATAGGGGTGGGAATCTTGAGGCACCTCACAATTTGATTTAGAGGGCCACAATTTGATTATTGAAGCATCTTGCCTTTGCATTTCTATACACGATTTCTTTCTTTTATCACTGTGTGACTATAGAGGTTACTGTTCTTACAAATGTGCTGTCATTTACAAAATAAGCGTTTCAATTCAAAAATCAGAGTGATTCTATAACGAGTCAGTTTTCTCCAAATCGATTTGACATTCATTCTGTTTAGACTCTTGTGCTTAACTGTATCAGGCTGATACAGTTAAGGCTAAATATGGCCCCCCTGGCCTGGCCCGGCCCCCCATTACTCCACTGGTCAACATGAGACTTTACTTGTCTGCTCTTTTTCTAATAAGAAGTGATACTGAAAAAACCTGCTTAATTCATATTTATGTTCTTGGATAAACAGGGCATTGCTTATTCTGCAACAATGAATTTAAAAAAAAAAAAACTGCGTTGTGTGATAATCTGCTTGAAGTACTACTCTCGTGCGTGCCTGTCTCTGTAACTCGCAAAAACTGATAACCACATATATTCAGTTATTTATCAATGATGTTAAATTATGAATTGGGAACAAATCAATTGTGTTTATGCAGAATCGTACGCACCGCAATGCATTGAAAATCGGTTAATTTCCCGACCTGTACTATTGGGTACAGAAGCATTTCCATTTCATTGGTGAATCCATCTGTTTTCTGCTACTTATGCAGGTCCAGGCTTCATTCATTCATTCATTGATTATCTCCAAGAATGGATTATAATAATAAACTACTCTGGTGCTTGGAGAGCGATCTCTCTGCCAAGGCTAACACCATATCTCGCTATGTTACCAAGCCTTACTGCTCACCAAAACTTATTGGAAAGCAGACGGTGAAGTAAACGCAAAAAATCATGAAAATGTCATACCTCCAACAGTCTTTTTTTGCATAATCCTGCTAACTAATAAACACGAACAAAAAAATTACCTCCCTGGCGGGGGTACTAATTCTTGACCATGTGTCCCACTAATTTTTTTTATCATACATTATCCATTGGCTGGTTTGACTTGATGATCCCTGCAGAGATCCTGTTCCTTAAGGTTTCAACTGCTCTCCTAATGGCTCCAACTTCTTCTTCCTCAGGTCGGGTTGGTGCTGCAGTGACCTTCATTTACGCCATAAACAAGTGTCACCAACAGGCCAGGAGACCACACCATCGCACTGACCACCTGACAGATGGACTGATGATGACTTCCTGCTTTAGGAAAGGAAAAACCACCGCCCATTTTTACTTTTTGACCTTTTGAACTTTGACCTGCACTACTGCTGCCAGGCGGGGAGGCGGGAAGAGTCTTCAATTCTTCCTCCTCCCTCAATCACATGGACCTTAAGCCATTGTAGTTACCATCGCAAACAACTGTATTACATCTGGAAGCTGTCTTGATTGTACCAAACACACAGACACAAGAACAGTTTGCACAGATTTCTTTATACCAAACACTCACTTTTGGCTTACACACCATACAATACCTGTAAATAGTATCAAAACCTAACTGCAGATTATGCCCTAACACAAAAGGAACCTATGGTTTTATTCCTAAAAGTTGGAAGTGCTTTTTGCAATTCAAATCAATCTGTCATCTTTAAGTTTTAGATATAAACAAAAATATCTTAAAGAGGAAAAAGCTCAAAAAGATGAGGTAATAAATACCAAAAGTGGACACCAGTGGCCTGTACTACCAAGCAATTTCACCGTACTACGAAGCTGGTTATCAAATGTCTCAGTTAACTCTGGGTTTTCTTATCCCGCTATATGTGCAGTCATAAGAACTATGAATAAAGTTCTTAATGTGTCAGAAATGCTGAAGCCTGGGGGTAGTCAGTTTAAAGTCAAAGTGACTTTCAACAAAGAGATACATAAATGATAATTACATCGCTAGAAAAAGAAACAAAACAAATTCTCATTTTTAAATCAAGGTTAAGGCTGTATTATTAATTTTAGTCCTGATAATTTTTCCTCTTAGCTGATGGATAAAGTGTTAGGAACATGTGATGCAGATAGAAACATCTGGGATGTGAGACTTACTGCTGCCAAAGCCGAGAGGAGAAAAGAAAAGTAGTGAATCATGTGTGAGATCAGGCTTAGTGAAATGTTCATTTATTATAATTAGAAATGTTTAAGTGTGTGGATACTTTTTTTTCAAATACAATACATTAGAGGGTTTAGTTTACTATTTATCCTCAAGTTAAGAAAGCAAAAGCATAAACACTTGAACACTGTGAGGAATCAAATAACCTTTCACTTAAAAGGAAGCTGTAATAGTTGGGCTGCATTTATGTATTTTGAAGCTCTTTTAGAACTACAGTGGACACATAAAAGTCTGGAACAGGTTGGTACTACAGCATAAGTTACTATTTTGATTTTGTTAAATGTGAACCAGCCTCGTAGAACTGAAAACCCAGAGTTTAACATGAAGCTCCACAGATCCTGCTTCGTAGTACAGGCCCCAGAAAAGGGCTGTTAAGATTATGCTTGACTCCTGTATTTTTATTTTTTTTCCTCCATCAGCCATTATGAAGATGTATGTGCCTGATTTGGCGTATGTCTTCTGGAGGTCTCCTCATCTGTATTAACTTTCATGAACCTCTCATCAAGCTTACTGCACTAACAGAAGAAGCAGAAAGAGAAACAGACTAATCATAGCAGACCAACTCAGTTTGAGGGGGGAAAAAGCTCCTTTGGGACGAGGTTGGACTGTGACAGAGGTTAAAAGCTTTTCAGTGGGGTTTACTCAACACATTTATGAGCAGGAATCAGATTTTAAAGACGACTTGAATAAGTTGTGTCCCGGTTTCAATGTCCACCCTTACTAACAGAGTTTGACGTATGTTCCTGGAAAGTCAAGGGCTTCGAGGTCAAAATCAGAAACTGAAAGTGCTCTTTCTTTTCTTGAACTCATGATGCAGGTTTTTCTTGGGGGGCAATCTCACAGTCTTAAAAGATAAAGTACAAGACAACAAACACATAAGAAAAACTGAAGGATCCTATGTTCTGGCTCATTTAATGAAATAACAGCTCTAATTTTAATCTATTTATTAGGATTTATTTAGAAAATGACAACAAATGTGCAGTTTTATTAACTTGCAGATGAAATATGAGCCTCACACAGCCTAAAGATCCTCATGCTCAGTTCCCTGTCAGGTAGAATGGGAGTTTTCAGGAGGGTGGGTGTTGGAGCTGGGCCCGTGAACAGCCATCATGGTGGTGGTTGTGATGATGATGGTGACTGGGGAGAAGCCCCTGCTTAAAATAAGTGTTTCCTGTCTGAGTGTTGGTTCTATTTGCAAATGGATGTAAAAAATAAATGAATAAAGAATGGGTCTTATGGTGTTGCAGGAAACTAATGTGAAGAGGCAGGTGATTTTCTTCTTTTTTTGAACAAAAAATAAAATCTAGAAGTTGCTGTGAGAGTTATGGTTTTTTTCCTGAAGGTAGAGAAACAGATGATATGAAACGCACCTTTAAATCACGGCTACAACTTGCTTTTTCTGGAAAAAGCTTGTAAGCTGACCCTGAGTGTGGTCAAGATAAGATTTTCATGCCTTAACTACATGAGCAGTGAAAGTATATACAGTAAGTAGTAATATTTGAGGATTAATTTTTCAATGATATTTTTACTTTTTGTCTGTCATGTGATCCTTGTTCCGGAACATGAGGCTTCCACAGAGCGCTTCCTTCTCTAATTAATAAGACAACCTGACTCTTCCTCACAGTTCATCTGTCATATCAGCTCATTTTGTACAATCAGCACAAAGTTGAGTTTCTGTCCTGTCAATTAGAGTAATCTGTTCATGCATCCATTCATTATCTGTTCTGTTTATCTCTTCAGGGTCACAGAGGGCTGCGGCCAATCCCAGCTGACATTAGGTAAGAGGCAGGGTACACCCTGGACACAGGGCTGAGAAACAACCATTCACACTCATAGCCAATATAGAGACAAATACTGCTGGTCGTCTGTGTACAAATACTATATAGCGTGCTCCAGTTTTAGGCACCATTGCAACATTATAAGGGGAACATCTGATTGGTGCCACATTCATCCTGCAGCATTACAACACAAGACAAAAATGTTCTCAGAGACAGGAAGAGCACAGATTTTTAAAAGCATCCTCATTTTAACTTTAGTGACTGTAACTACTACTTCTCCTAGTGATGCTGCCGCGAACATTATATATCATATTATAAAACATTATTGACACATCAATCAATCTAATGTAC